TTTTTTTTTTTTTTTTTAATCCCAGAATAACAATTCTCCGTTTCTTCCAGAAAATGGATTCCACGTGTTTTTTTGGCCCCAATTTAATTCGAAACCTAATCATAAACTTGGTCACGTTGACCGATTTAAATACAAATTTTTCCCCGAGATAAATTTCGATATATTTCGACAATCCTTGAGTGTCCCGATCCTGCCCTGTTTCTCTCGACGCGCGTGATTCGAATTCAAAGAAAATACGAAAAGTCTATACGATTGGAAACGCAAACAAGGGACACGCACGATCGAGGAGGACTGCGATAATCAAGCCAACCAAGTTTTTGATCGAACGAGGGTGGGCGAATTGTCTCGAAAAGACGATGGATAAATAGGGATACGGAGTAAACAAGGCGTGATTGCTTATTTCCACGGCGTTGACGCTTCTACGTAGCGCGTATTATTTGCATTCGAGGGCTAAAGCGCTTAAGGATATTTACGGGCGGAGCTCATATTCGAAAGAAAGATTATTGTTATCGTTAAAAGGGATTGATGTAAATATTTGCAATACATTGGAAGGATCCGTTGATTCCCTGTCCATTTATTTTCGAGTTTTGGGAATAATTTCTCCAATAATTTTTAAATTTTAATTCTTGTTGAAATGGGATTTTGGAATTCTTTAAAAAAGAAAAAAGAAGAAAGAGATACGTTTTTTGGATTTCGAAAATTTCGAGAGTAAACTTTCGAATCTATTTTTTTTCTGCGAGATCTCGAAGAGGTTGTTTGAGAAGCTATTAAGTAATTATTTAGAACGATCCGTGTGATCCGTGATGCAATTTAAGGGACGGAAATTTGCATATCGATTTGTAATTATTATTACCGGAACGCGGTGATTCGTGGAATAATTCAAATGGAAGAATTTTCGAGTCATATTACAGAATCTAATTTAAACTTGTAATCTCTTTACTATTCCCATTAGTATTTCCCTGATAGCATGATTCCCAATAACAGTGACCTATAGGATGATTCAAATGGAAAAGTTTTTCAATAAAATCTCATCTAAAGTTGCAATTTCGTTTTAAACGGTTCGAGGTAATAATAATGCTGGTTATTATTATTGTTATTATTATTATTATTTTTATTTTTTTTTTTTTTTTTTTTATCATAAATACTCGACCCCATTACTCGGATCACGGTGCTCGACGAAGGAAGGAAAGATAAGTTTTTACTTTGAAAATTCAAGATTTTCGAATATTCTAAAATTACGAGAATTTTATCAAATTTCTTTTTTAACGTCTCTTTTTTAACGCACGACAAATTCATATTTCCCCGCGACAAACTTTGTCAAACTTTCGCCAAGTACAAAGTGTATTATAAACTGAAACACGGAACAAAGAGAGTCGAGGTAGAATCAAGATGGAAGAAGATGGAAGGGAAGAGGAAATGCGGATATTAATACCAACGATGAATCTTCTTTTTTATAAATGGAGAGAAAATATTATTATAAAATGCAAGATCGATGAGTATTAAATCGATATATAAGGATAGTAAATATTATCTTTCTCCATTCGTTTCTCGAACGAATTACGTTTTAATAGATATGTATTAGTTTCGTTGGAAGTGCAGAGGATGTGCTATTGATGTGTAGAACGATGGAGATCCCAATCGTTGAATTGGACAGACGATTACTATGATAGAAAAAAGAGCTATGGAATATATTCGTAATTTATTTATTTATTTATTTATTTATTTATTTTTTAATAAACCATTGCCAGATTATATTATATTATAGATCTCAATTTGTATTTCATTATTTTTTTTTTTTTTTGTGGAAATTATTCTTAGCAAAGAAAAATGTTGTTCCATGATAATTTTCAAATATTAATAACAATTTTTAATACAGCCGTATTAAAAAGAGATTTAAAGAGGTATTAAAAATTCGTATATTTTATATTTGTAAAGTTTATACATTTTTTATCATTCGTTGCGACAGATTTCTTTCAACCAAATCTTGATTCGCTTTTTAAAAATAAAATATTATTATACGTATATATATCATGTTTCCTCTGATAAAAATTCTTTTTTTTTCTTTTTTTACAGAAAAATATGGGAGAATTATATAATATGGGAGAATATAAATTAAAACGAAACGATCGTATGTATTAAGGGAAAAATCTATAATAAAATGTAGAAATGAAACGCTATACCATTAATGTTTAATTCATCATCATCGTCGAATAGCAGATGGGACATGACGAATCGCATGGTTCTACATAATCGTTCAGGATTTTAATCAGACAGGTTGATTTTCAACACGGGGACGATTGGAAAATCGTGGTACAGAATGTCAAAGAGACGATCGTTATCAACGATGACGTATCGATGCGCTATCAATTTCAATGGATAACAATTCAATAGATCGAATCGATTCAGAATTTTCGAATTGGAGAATAAAAAGAGAGAATGAAAATTCGGAACAAGCATATTATGGCAAATATTTGAAAATCGATCCGATCGATGCAAGGTCGTTTCAACGCCGCATGGATATCTCATTCACGTTGACAGTTATCTGGGGATTTCACGAGCTTAAGAATTCCTATAATAACGAATAGATTTATACATTATATTTTTTACATTATATTTTTGCAATAGTTTTCTTAATTTTAGAGATATCTTTTACATACGCTTATCTTTTACATACTTACTTTTCAAACTGTTACATTTTCGAAAATAAAACAATTTTCAATCATTTTAATATTTAATCATTTAAATCTGATTATATAATTTGATATATATCATTCTTATATATTCATTCTTGTGTTATACTTAATTTTTAAATATATATCTTTTTAAGTTATCATATTATCAGGAATTACGTTAAGAAATAGAAAATATATGTACATCATATAAAATTAGAAAAATATATATATGTATATTTTATGAATATAGTACATTGAATACGTATAATAATAAATACGTAGCATATATAAAAATATACAGACAATTATTTCTTCTTTTTTTCCCTTTATTAAAAAAATCTTGAATTTTCGATTCATAATTTTACTGTCATAAGTGTTATAATATTTGTCATTACAATTTATGAAGTAAGACAAGGAGAGTAAATAGTGAGAAAAGGACAGAGATAGTATAAAAATATGGAAATCAGCGCCATCTTCAGAATGCCGCAAATGAAACACAAAAATAAAGGACAGAAAATAAAAGAAAAAGGATAG